CCCACCAAGCTCCTGGGGGGGTGTGGGGGGGCTGCCCACCAGCTCCTGGTGTGTGTGTGGGGGGGGCTGCCCACCAACTCCTGGGAGTATGGGGGGAGCTACCCAACAGCTCCTGGCGCCCCCTGGTGGGAGTACTGGACTCTGCCCTGACCTCTGTGGGAGGAGGTGGGCCAGCTCCGCCCCAAGGTCCACCTTCCTCTCCAGGCCTGGACAATCCTGGCCAGATCTCTCCCAGGAGGCAGGCACAGGGGACCAGGCCATCAGCAGTGGGAGCCCTGCCCTCTCCACCCTGCCCCGCCCTGCTCCGCCTGCCCGCCTCCCTGCCTGGCCTAGGTGGCAGCCCAGGGGCCCTTTGCATAATCCTGTGGCTTGGCAGCACAGGGGAAGGGCACAGACAGCAGCCATGGCGACGCCCCTCTCCCACCCCCAGCGGCGTCCTCCCCTCTTGCGCCAAGCCATCAAGATAAGACGTCGAAAGGCCCGAGATGTGCAGGATCCCCTGCCCCGGACGGTTCAGGAGGTAGGAGTGACCTCACCCGTTGTGGTACCACAGCAAACTGGGTGGGGCCCTGCGGTCTTGGGGTGCAGAACTGTTGCCTGGCCCCACCTCCCACAGGCGGGGGCTGAGGATGAGGACCCAGCCCCAGGCGTCCTGACCCCCCTCCACTTGCCCCCGCCCTGGGCAGACCTTTTGGGCCAGTGAAGCAGCATAGGCCACGTGTCCTCTATGTGCTCTGGCCTCAGATTAGGGCCTGCACCCAGCTGTCCCACTTCCTCTGGCGGGCTGGTCCCCTCATCCTGGCACCTCCATGTCCAGAAGTGCTGGCTTCGTGAGCAGGGTGCTCCTGTTAGGGGGTGGGCTGCACGAGCACCCCCAGGCCTGCCTGACAGCTCCCCCAATCTCCCACCTCCGCCACTGGCCCTCACTTCCGGTGTGGGGCGAGGAGCAGCCCCGATAAGCAGCCCGTTTCCTCTGCAGAAGGAAGGAGGGTGGGGGCGTGGGTACAGAGACAGGCCCAGCAGCTGACACCCATGGACCCCAGCTATGACAGGCCAGGGGACGAGGAGCCCGCACCATGGGACAGACCCCCAGAAGGGCTGCTGGGGGAACAGGTGCGGGGCCTTGAGGGGTTGAGCCAGGGTGCTGGGGCCCCTGCTGCCCTGAGCCCCAACTCTCAGGAGTTCCTGCCAGTGGGGTGGGGGCCCAGCCTCCCTGGACACCAGCTTTCATCTTGTCCCCAGGTTGAGCCTCCATCCCACCACTTCTCCCCTGAGGAGGTAAGAGGCAGCGTGTTGGGGGGTGAGAAATTGCTGAGGTGCGGCCCCACATCCCCTGAATATATCCTTCAACTGCTGGCTGAGGCTCAAAGCTGCAGCTCAGGGCGGGTAGGGACTTAGGGGCTGGGGGTCCCTCTTTCCTGCTCTGGGGTTGGAGCTGGTGGCCAGGCCCCAGGTGGAGGCCGAGGGTCCTGAGTCACCCTGCCTGCAGCGGGCCCTGCTCTACGAGGAAGCCCTCTACACGGTCCTGCACCGGCTGGGCCAGCCCGAGCCCAACCACGTGTCCGAGGCCTCTGAGCTACTGCGTTACCTGCAGGAGGTGAGCCGCCCCCCAAACCCTCTCTGACACCCCAGCGCCCACAGGCACCCACAGCCCCCGCCTCCCCACCAGGCTTTCCACTTGGAGCCGGAAGAGCACGCGCAGATGCTGCAGCAGGTCCGGCAGCTTGAGGTGACTGGGGTGAGGACCATGGGGTCTGGGGAGGCATCCGGAGGCCCAGGTCAGTACTCAAGGTCCCCCTGTCCTTCTAGAAACCAATGTTCTTTCTGAAGGCCACGGTGAAGCAGGCCAAGGGTATTCTGGGCAAGGATGTCAGTGGTGAGTAGGGGCGGGACGCCTTCCACCCATCTCCCCACCAGCCTGGGGAACCTACCTCTCTTTCCCCATCCTGGGACTCAGGGTCCAAGGGAGACCTGAGACCCCCCCACTCCCCATCAGAAGACATATCACTGAGAGGTGGGGGCCTTGAGGAACCCTCCTCTTGAGCCTTGGCTGCCTCAACCTCCCCTCCTTCACAGGGTTCAGTGACCCCTACTGCCTGCTGGGCATCGAGCAAGGAGTGGGCGTGTCCACGGGCAGCCCTGGGGCCAGGCGGCGGCAGAAGGCCGTTGTCAGGGACATGCTTCCCGAGGAGCAGACCCACCGCACCCAGGTCATTCCACAGACGCTCAACCCTGTCTGGGACGAGACCTTTATCCTGTACGTTTCTGCTTGGGGCTTTTCTCAGAGTGGGATCTCTCAGAGGGGGATGGGATGCATCTTCCTGGCTTGGGGGAGGGGCTAGGTACTGGGCCAAGACTAGAGACGGACCCTGTGCTCCAGGCCCAGTGGATAGACAAGACTAGACAGGACAGGCCAAAGGCATAAACACTGCCTGTGCAGGGAGGTCAGGGCCTGAAACCTCAGCTTAAAGGCCAGGAGGACACAGCCATAGGGAAGGGGACCTTATCAGCAGAGGCTAAGATTTCAAAGTAGGTAATAGTGGGGATGGAAGCAGCTTTGGGGAACAGGTTCTGGTCTGAGGGGAGTGTGTGGTCTGGTCAGGAGCTTCCCCTCCAAGGCCCTCATGGTGTCCCGTTCTCCCTGCAGAGAATTTAAGGACATAGCCAGTGCCAGCTTCCATCTGGACATGTGGTGAGTGGACATTTCCCACCCCAGGGGTGGGGAGGAGAAGGCACAGTGAGGACAAGGGTGGCAGGACCTCCTTCTGGGAGATTCCATGGGTTCAGAGGATGTTCTCTCTGCCTCCCTCTCATGATGCTGCCCCCTAGGGACCTGGACACAGTGGAGTCTGTCAGACAGAAGCTAGGGGAGCTGACAGACCTGCATGGGCTACGCAGGTGAGCACCTTGGACCTCCAGGAGGGAGCTTATAGACCTGCATGGGTCCCTCAGCTGCTTCTGCACAGGGTCTGCTCCCTCTGCATGGGGTCATGGGCTCTGCATGGTCAGGGTCTGCTCCCTCTGCACAGGGTCAGGGCTCTGTCTTCACAGGGTCAGGGCTCTGTCTGCACAGGGTCCACACCTTCTGCACAGGGTCAGGGTTCCGTCTGCACAGGGTCAGGGCTCTGTCTGCACAGGATCAGGACTCTGTCTGCACAGGGTCAGGGCTCTATGCACAGTGCACAGGGTCAGGGCGCTATGCACAGGGTCAAGGGCCTCTGTATGCCCAGGGTCCACACCTTCTGCACAAGGTCAGGGCTCTGTATGCACAGGACCTGCACCCTCTGCACATGATCGGGAACAGGATCAGGGCTCCGTCTGCACGGGGTCAGGGCTGCAGGCTCTGTGGGTGTCTAGCCTGGAGTCTTTCCCCAAACAGGATCCTTAAGGAAGTGCGGAAGGACAAAGGCCAGGACGACTTTCTGGGCAACTTGGTTCTGAGGCTGCAGGTGAGCTGAGCTTGGAGAGGGGTCCATGGGTCAGGTTAAGGGTTCTGAAGACCCCTGCTCCAACAGGGAAGCCTGGGCTAAGCCTCCTGTCACTGTCCCCACCCTCGACTCCTGGGTGTGACCCTCCTGCCTGTCTGGCCCACCCATGTCCCCAGGACCTGCGCAGCCGTGAGGACCAATGGTTCCCTTTGGAGCCCTGCACAGAGACCTACCCAGACCGCGGCCAGTGCCATCTGCAGTTCCAATTCATCCATAAGCGGGTGGGTCAGCAGCTGGACCAAGGGCCCTGGCTAGATCGGGGAGCGCAGGCTGTACCCAGGGAGAAGTTCTCTCTGCTCACAGTGTACCTGCCCTTTGCAGAGGGCCACTCGGGCCAGCCGCTCCCAGCCCAGCTACACGGTGCACCTTCACCTTCTGCAGCAGCTGGTATCCCACGAGGTCACGCGGCACCAGGTAGTGCCCTTTCTGGGCTGGGCAGGGCCAGGGCCTTCTGTGGGGTCTGATGCCCTCCACCTGTCGCCCTCAGGCAGGGAGCACCTCCTGGGATGGGTCACTGAGCCCACAGGCTGCCACCATCCTCTTTCTCCACGCCACCCAGAAAGACCTGTCCGACTTCCACCAGTCTATGGCGTGAGTGCAAAGGCCTGTACAGACCCGGGCGGGCGTGTGCACTGCGGCTACCCTCTCCCTCTCCCCGCTCTCCCTCTGGTCCAACCACGACCAGCTGGAGCCCAGAGACTAGGGTCTCCAAAGCCTGCTGGGCGCAGGGATGAGTCATTGCTGTTAGGGGGTCGTCCCATCAAGTGTGACTCACGGTGGCCCTGTGTGGAGCAGGTAAACCTGCGACACCCTCATTGGGCTTAAACCCATCATTCTATTCACTATGTCACCCGAGGCGAGGCTGGAGCCCATGTGTCAGTCTATCTCCTGAAGGGCTTTTCTTGCCTTTGCTGACCCTCTGCTTTTTTCAGAGCACGGCGCCTTTCTCCAGGGAAGGGCCCCTCTTGAAACATGCCTAAAGCATGAGACCAGGTCTCGCTATCCCTCTGCAGAGGACTGTGCCCACCATAACTTCTTCTGAGACAGACTTGGTCAGGTTTCTTGGCAATCCAGAGAACGTTCACTGCTCTTTGCCAAGGCCGAAAATTGAAGGCATCAGTGCTTCGGTCTTCCTTACTCATTGTCCAGCTGTCACGTGCATGTGAAGCAAATGAAAGTACTTTGGCTTGGTGCCATCGGGGAGCGTGTATCAGGCTGCTAAGGGAAGGTGGGCAGTGAGAGTCAACCAGGTGCCCCTCAGGAGAGAGATGGGCTCCCCCTGCAATTTACAGGCGCAGGAACCTGGCGGGTCGCCACGTGCTGCAGCCAGCTCCATCAATGGCAGTGGGTTCTTAGGAACGCTTCACCAGATTTTAAACCAGGGGGTCTCATGTGCAGGTCCAGGCCACCGTACGTCCACACAGCACTGGCACTGGAATCTCAGAGCCATGCTTCAGCCTGCTCCTGCCCCTGTCTGTCGTGGGTCACTCACTCCCAGGCATCACCGGCCAGCTCCTTCTGGACAGGAGATCACTACCCTGCCCAGAGCCTGGCCCCCATTCCCTGATGCCACAGCCTCTGAGTCACTGACGTGAACTCACCTCTGCTGAGGGCCTGTCACGTCCTGGGGAGGCCCAGGAGGATCACAGGCTTTCACAGATATTTGCACGAAGGGTGCCAGGAAGACATGCAAAGAGGGCACTCAGAGCACTGGGCAGGGGCAGCAGGAGCCCGGGGTTGCCTCAGACCTGGACAGAGACTGGGGTTTGAGTGAGAGATGGGAAGAGATCAGTGGAGAAAGACACTTCAGGGCTGGGGGCAATGTGTGTGGCTCTTGGATAGAAGATGAGGACGGACGTCCAGGTCGGTCTGAAGATGACCCTGCTCCTGAAGGGGCCTGGTTTGCCCAAGCAGGGAGTATGGGTGGCAGCTGTGTCCTGATGGAGACGGTGCCCATCCCTGGACCGCTCTGTTGGCCCATCCTAACTCCACTCTCCCACTCAAACCTCCAGTCTCAGCTCAGCTGACATCTGGGTCTCCCCTGCATGACTGGGGGAACTTCCAGATGACTAATGTGTGTGGGAAGGTTCCAATCTCCAAATATTATTTTGCCACCAAATCAATTCTGACTCCTCGTGACCCCGTGGGACAGTGCAGAGCTGCCTTTACGTTTTATAAAGCTGTAGTCGTGGGGCGTGGTCCCAAAGCCCCGCAGGCTATGTCCCTGCAGCCTGAATCCAGCAACAGCAAGTCCACAGTCAGGAGATGGACAGGCTCCCGCAGTCCCTTACGGCCTCGGAGACACACAGCTGCAGGTCACGCTGAGTCAGAACTGACTTGGTGACAGTGTGAGTTTTGAGTCTTCATAGGAGCAGATGACCTCATCGTTCTCCCTCGGAACGGCTGGTGGGTTCGAACCACTGACCTTTTGATTAGTAGACACATTCTTTAACCACTGTTTCACCAGGGTTGTTCGATTCTGAGAAGCAGTAATCCTGAATTTTTAAGGTAGCAGACATCCTAAACCCATCCTGAATTAAAAGAAATTAAATCTTAATTTAAGAAATTGAAGATCATTTATATTTTTGGAGAGCACCTTATGAGAACAGAAAGAAAAAACAAACAAACAAAAAAATACCCAGCACCCAAAAACCCTACAGGTCACCTCAGCCTCGAGTTTGCCACCGCTACTGACTCAGGGGGGTCTGAGAGAGGGCTTGGCTATGAAGGTGCTACCACCCTCACGTGAGCCTGGGGAAGTGGTGGAAAGGGGGCGTCCACTGGGCCCTACTGAGGGCCTCTGATCTGCCGCAGGCAGTGGTTGGCCTACAGTCGTCTCTACCAGAGCCTGGAGTTCCCCAGCAGCTGCCTCCTGCACCCCATAACCAGCATTGAGTACCAGTGGATCCAGGGCCGGCTCAAGGAAGAACAGGTGGGCCTGCGAGGGGGAGGGGAGGGCAGAGGCAGTCTGAGCCCCCACAGCAGCCCCGGACTCAAGCGGGGACCCCTCTGCCTGCAGCTGGAGGAGCTGGCCACATCGTTCAGCTGCCTGCTCACCTACGGCCTCTCACTCATCCGGAGGTTTCGCTCCGTCTTTCCTCTCTCCGTGGCCGATTCCCCAGCTCGGCTGCAGTCCCTCCTCAGGTGACTGGCTCCCCCGTCCTCAGTCTCTCTGTGGGGTTGGCCTGAGGATGAAACCTGTGAGCGGATGAACCTTCCAGGTGGGCGTGAGTGGTGGGCGTTTTGGACACGGTCTGTTTCCACAGAGTCCTGGTGCAGATGTGCAAGATGAAGGCTTTTGGGGAACTGTGTCCTGACAGCCCCCCACTGCCCCAGCTGGTGACAGAGGCCCTGCGGGTATGGTGCCCACCTGGGGACAGGTGGGGCGCGGGATGGGTCTGCAGTCTCCCCTGCTCACTGCCTCTTTGCCTGCAGAGTGGCACAGTGGAGTGGTTCCACCTGAAACAGCAGCACCACCAGCCCATGGTGCAGGTGAGGGCTGGGGCAGGTGGGCAGGCTGGAGGGGTGCGTTTACCTGCAGGCTGCCCTGCTCAGCGCCTCTGCCTCCCAGGGCCTGCTGGAGGCGGGCAAGGCTCTGCTGAGCCTGGTACAGGACGTCACGGGTGACCTGCACCAGTGCCAGCGCACATGGAACAAGATCTTCCACAAGTGAGTTGGGGGGGCATGGTTCAGGTTGTGGGACCCGAAGGAGTGGGGGGGCAGCCCTGGGTGACACCCTGCCTTCCCTGCAGCGCCCTCAAGATCGACCTCTTCCCCCTGGCCTTCCTGGAGCTGCAGTGGCTGGTGAGTCCCCGCGATTCCGGCCAGGCCCTCCTCGCCCGGCTCCCTGTGGGGGTGGCTCACCCACTCTCCCCACTCAGGTGGCCAAGCGGGTGCAGGATCACACGGCGACTGTGGGCGAGCTGGTGTCCCCGGAGATGGGGGAAAGTCTGTTCCAGATCTATGTCAGCCTCAAGGAGTTCTGCCGGCTGAGTCCCAGCCCTGCAGAGAGGTGAGCGCGGGCCGGGGTGGGGGCGAGAGCCAGGGGGCGAGGGCCGGTGGGTGAGGGAGGAGAGAGGGGTGGTCCCCAGGCTTATGGCTTGTCCAGGCTGAGCCCGCGTGTCCCCAGGGACGGGGTCCTAGCCCTGGACGGCTTCCATCGCTGGTTCCAGCCGGCCATCCCGTCCTGGCTGCAGAAGACCTACAGCGTGGCCCTGGCGCGCGTGCAGCGAGCAGTGCAGATGGACGAGGTGGGGGTGGTGCTGGGGGCTGGGATGGGGGCGTGGCTAAGTATGTGCGGGCGTGGTTAAGTTGAGGGAGGGCGGGATAAGGGAAGGGAGGCGGGGCTAGGCCTGGGGAAGCTGGACAGGAAGGGAGGCTGGTCAAGGTCTGCAGGTGTCTCTGGCTTGGGGCTCTGCTCTCACCCTTTGGGCACATTAGGGAATCGGGGTCTGGATGCCAGAACCAAGCTATGAGAACGCTTTTTTCTTTTCCTATTTTATGTCAGTGAAGCTTTGCAGGGAAACAGTTTTCCACTCAACAACTCATGGACTCTGTCCAGTGACCTTGATCACAGTGCCCCACGGTGTAGCGACACTCCCCTCACTTCCTCCCTGTGTGTCCCTTTCCGTCCATCCTTCTTTCCTGTTCCTTGGTGCCTCTGACCTTTCTTCCCAGGCAGATGTTGTCCCTCTGAGGTCACACATGGCTGCTCTAAGGACCACTTTCCTGCCGGTTAGGACGCAGCTCATCCGCCTGTGTGTTTGGCTGAAGGTTGAGCCACAGGCGTCCCAGCGTGGAAGGGTGGTTAAGGGCCGTAGTCTCTGTGGTGCAGAATCTTTGTCCAGCCAGCAAGCCCCTTCTTTTTGCTGATCATTTTCTGGTCTTACCAGAGTCATGGAGACCATACCACCTAGTCCCTAGGCCTGACTGTTGAGCTGACCACAATGCATAGAAACCCATGAACAATGGATCGGAACCTTGCTCTACTCCTGTGCCATCCTCATCATGTCTGATATACTGGAGCCCATTGTTACAGTCATTCTATCTCGTTAAGGTTCTTCCTCTCTTCCCCTGACCCTCTACCTTTCCAAGCATGACATCCTTCTCCAAGGACCAGCCCCTCCCAAAAACATGCCCAAAATATGAGACAAAGCTTCACCCTCCTTGCCTCCCAAGGAGCATCCTGGCCACACTTTGTCCAAGATTTAAGTCTATTTTTTTGGCAGTCCACGAGATAATCAGTACTCTTCCTTAGCACTTCAAAGGCAACGGCTCAAAGGCATCTCTTCTTCCAATAGTCCGATTGTCTTCACTGCTCCTTGCTCCAAACAGGGTGAGACCCACTAGCTGCACGTGAAGTGACCTCTCACAAGCTTTTCCTATTCTAGTAGGAGGATGTGGAGCACTGTGGACTGTGTCACGCCGTGGGACCCTGATGTCCCCTCCATCCCCTGAGACTATGGTCCTGAGTACCTTTGCAAGCTCTTGAGACCAATCTGCAAATCTCTGCTTCTTGATACTCTTGGAGGTTCATTTTACAGACAGTCGCTCTCTGTCCAGCTCTTGGCGGTCATAGAAGCAGTGAAGGAGGCCAGGACAGGGTGGGCTCGGCAGGGCCCTGAGCTTGCCTTTCCATGCCTCCTGTGCTCCAGTTGGTGCCGCTGGGAGAACTGACCAAGCATAGCACCTCAGCCGTGGATCTGTCCACCTGCTTCGCCCAGATCAGCCAAACAGCCCAGCAGCTGGACTGGCCTGACCCAGAGGAGGCCTTCATGATCACCGTCAAGTTCGTAGAGGTACAGCGTCTTCAGTAACGCCTTTGCCACCTCCCTCAGGTCAACCTCACTACCTCCCACCCTGTGAGCACACAGCCCCGCCCCCAGACTCACCATCCAGGGATCTGTCCCTTCTTCTCTCTCCCTGGCCCAGGACACCTGTCGGCTGGCCCTGGTGTACTGCAGCCTCATCAAGGCCCGGGCCCGGGAGCTTTCTGCAGGCCAGAAGGACCAGGGTCAGGCAGCCAACATGGTAGGAACCAACGCTGGCTGGGCCCCGGGGCTGGCCAGGGTGGGGGCGCGGCCTGCCAGCCCTGGCGTGGCTCGGGACACCTGGACCCTTGTGCCGTGCCTGTCCCCAGCTGTGTGTCGTGGTGAATGACATGGAGCAGCTGCGACTGGTCATCGGCAGGCTGCCCACCCAGCTGGCGTGGGAGGCGCTGGAGCGGCGGGTCGGGGCTGTGCTGGAGCAGGGACAGCTGCAACACACGCTGCACGCCCAGCTCCAGGGCGCCCTGGCGGGACTGGGCCATGAGATTCGCACTGGTGTCCGCACCCTGGCAGAGCAGGTACGCGTCCCACTGCAGCCTGGGACAGCCCCAGGCGCTCCCATGCCCGCCTCTTCTTGACTCCAAACCAGGTCCCAGCACAACTCCCTGGATCCCCACTCACCCCCTAACCTACTCCTGCCATCGTGTGTCCCCAGCTGGAGGTGGGCATTGCCAAGCACATCCAGAAGCTTCTGAGTGTCCGGGAGTCCATCCTGCCTGAGGACGTGAGTGCCCCCTCCCTGTTCTCTGTGGGGTCTGGAATTGTGAGGGGGTTCAGAGTGGGCTGAGGGCATCACAAATTAACCTCCAGACTTGGGCTAGGCATACTCCATGGGCCTCAGTTTCCTCCTTGGACACTGAGAGGGGCGTCAGGCTCGCCACATTGGTGGTGAGGCCAGTTGGCTGGGCTCGAGTGGGAGCCTGGGGATGTGTAGACAGACAGACAGACAGACAGACCAGGTGCAGGTTGCACCTTGCACAGCTGCCCTGAGCATCGGTGCCCTGAATAAACGAGCCAGCTAGCTTCAATCTCCTCATGTGTCGATAAGGATAATGACATACACCTTCAACTGGACATTCATCCACAAACCATTAATTCTTTTTCATTCTATTTTATTTTGATTTTATTATTTTGTGTGTGTACCATCAAATCAGATCTGACTAGTACAGGAGGAGATTGTCCCTCCTTCTCCAGCAAAGCATCTGGTGGATTCGAACTGCGCACCTCTGGGATTGCAGTACAGTTTCTTGCCACTAGGCCACCAGAGCTCCCTCAAACATTAATTTTTTTTAAAAAAACTATTATTATTTTGTCTGTGTACTGTCAAATCAGATCTGACTGGTACAGGAGGGCATTGCCTCTCCTTCTCCAGCAGAGCATCTGGTGGATTCTAACCACAAACCTCTGGGATTGCAGTGCAGCTTCTTGCCATTAGGCCACCAGAGCTCCCTTCAGTCATTGATTTTAAGCACCCACTTGAAGCCAGGCATTGCTCACTCACTCAGGATGGATCAGTGGAGAACTGACCAGGTCCCTGGCTCCCTGAAGCTGAAGTCCTCATGCCCGTACGCCTATTCCTGCCCCATAGATTCTTGGTCCTGGTGAGCCTAGAGTGCTAAGTGGAGGGCCCTACAGGGCTTCAAAAGGAGCTCTGTGGCACAGCGCGTAGTGTTACACTGCTCACTAAAAGGTTCAAATCCAGCACTTCTTACAGAAGAGAGATGGGAAATCTCTCGAGGACTTACGGCCTTGGAAACCCAGGAAACCCAGTCCAGGGCCCCCAGAGTTAGAATCTACTTGGTGGTACTGGGTATTGGGCATGGGGTGATTCATAGAATCAGAACTCCAGGTCTTCTTCTGCGGTGGGGGGGGGGGTGTGCTTCTAGGTTTGAACCTCCAGCCTTTTGATTAGTCTAGTGCTCAACCACACTGCATGCCAAGGCTCCTGACTCTGCAGTCTGGAGCTGGAATAAAAGGTGAGCACATGGGGAGCTCTGGTGGCCTGGTGACAAGAAGCTGTACTGCAATCCCAGAGGTACATGGTTCGAATCCACCAGATGCTCTGCTGGAGGAGGGACAATCTCCTCCTGTACTAGTCAAATCCAATTTGATGGTACACACACAAAAAAAATAATTTAAAAAAATTTTAAAAAGTAAAAAATGGGGAGCTCTGGTGGCCAAGTGGCAAGAAGCTGCACTGCAATCCCAGAGGTACACGGTTCGAATCCACCAGATGCTCTGCTGGAGAAGGAGGAGCAATCTCCTCCTGTACCAGTCAGTTCTGATTTGACGGTACACGCACACAAAATAATAAAAAAATAAATTTAAAAAAAAAGTGAAAAAAAAGGTGAGCACATGTATTTGTATCCCACTACCACCACATGATTCTATCCCACTACCACCACATGATTCAGTGACTGGGATAATTGGGATGGGAGTGTCAGAGACAGTGTGATTGGCACAGGACAGAGCGGAGTTTAGGGCTGTTGTACATAGGGTCGCTATGAGTCGCAGGCGACTCCACGGCACATAACAACAACAACCACCACCACCACATCAAGTCTGGCTCAGTGACCAGTAGGACAGAAGTGCCCTGCAGGGTTTTTCCGAGGCTCTAAGTCTTTACAGAAGCAGTCTACCTCCTCTGTCCCCCACAGAGCATCTGGTGGGTTCAAACGGCCAACCTTTGGGTTAGCAGTCGAATGCCCTACCCACGTTACCACTGTTGTTGTTGTACACCGAGTCAGAAGACATAGCTGACCCTCCGGCAGGTTTTCAGAGGCAGTAAGTCTCCTGGCAGAGTGCCTGTCTTTTTGCTGTGGAGCAGTTGGTGGGTTGACAGTGCCGCTCCTTACCACAGGACGCCAGACCTCCCTACAGGACCATTGGTGCTGCTTTTGTTAGCATCAAGTCGGAATTGGCCCGTAGCTAACCCTCTTCAGAGGCAGCTGAATCGCACGGGAGGAGATCGCCCATCTTTCTCCTCATTCATTTGAGATTGCTGTGCGGCTTCTTACAGCCAGGCCACCAGTGCTCCCTAGAGTACCACTAATATTCCCCAAATAGTTTAAATGTTGTGTTAGGTGATGGAGCCCTGAGGAGAAGGAGAAGACAGCACCAGAAGGTTGTATTTTTAGAGTGTGGCCAGATGAGCCTTATTCAGGGTGACAGATGAGAGAAGACAGAAGGCACAGGAGGGAGCTGGGTTAGTTTCTAGAAGGAAGAATGTCTCAGGCAGAGGCAGGGGGAACAGAATGGGCGGAGACCCTGAGCAGGACTTTGCTGGCTGGCTGAAGGATTGATGAGGCGGCCAGGACGGCAGGAGCCCGCTGAGCGAGGGGGAGGGACAGCAGCGAGGAAGCCTTGGAGTTGATTAGGACGCTGCACGCGTGTGACTTGGACCCCGCTTCCTGGGGCTCGGGGGTGGGGGTGGGGGTGAGACCTGCGTGACCTGGGCAGAGGAGCGGGTGGGAACTGACTCAGGACCAGACCTGACACACTCCGTGCCCCTCCCAGGCCATTGTACCCCTGATGAAGTTCCTGGAGGTGGAGCTCTGTTACATGAACACCAACTTGGTGCAGGAGAACTTCAACAGGTGCGCAGCTTCTCCGCCCGGGGCCACCCCACCGCCCTCAGGGAGGAATCTCGGGAGACTTTCAGCTAGACTTCAGTCAGTTGTTTGCTCCCAGAGTCAGGGAGCTCACTACCTCCCTCACTAGCCAATCCCATGTCACAACTCCAGCCTCCCTGATTCTCTGCCCTCCAATAATCCGAAGTGGGAGACCCAGGACACGACGTGGTAGTGAGCAGAGACGCCAAGGTTGCTTGGCTCCTGTCCTTGTTTCCTCCTTGCCTTGAGTAGATTCAGTGTGCTCTGTCAGGAGCTGAGAACAGGGTGTGCATGCATGTGGGCCCGGGCCACCACAGTGGCGGAGGTGGTGACGATTGATGCCTCCCAGCCTCTCCCCTTGAAATCTCATCTACTTGAGGTGCAGACACAGCCTATCGTTAGTTACTTAGTCCTTGTTTTTATGTTATTCATTCAGTTCTTTTCACATAAACAAGTACATAATACTCTCTGAGACTGGAACTTTGGTGCAGAAAACAACAAAGTTGCCATTTCCGGTTGACTTGATTCCAGCTCCTGGCAGCACTGTCTGTCACAGAACAAAGGTGTGGATGGCTGATTTTTCAGGAGTAGGTTGCCAGGCCTTTCATCTGAGGCCCCTTCTGAGTGGACACAGCCTCCAGCCTGTCCTTTATCAGCTTGAGCCTGTTGACGGCACCACTGGGGAGTCCTGATGCAGAGGTGGCGCTCAGTAGATGCAAAAGGAAGCCCCATGTTAATTACACAGTTGAGTTGTGGTGCTCAGCTGCTGGACTTGACCCTGGTCACGTTACATTCCGGGGAGGTTTCAGGACTGTCTTGGCCGCTCTGTTAGTCTTTCCCTGAGGTAGTAGATGCATGAAATCTTTTGCCCATTTTTGCCACCCTCATTGCATACTGTGATTCCATCTTGTGGGGGACCAGGTCCTGGCCCTTTGAGAAGGATTCTTTGCTTGGCTTGAGAGGCATATTGGAGGGGACAACCCTGCATCCTCTTGTCTGTCCCAGGACACCATTCCTCCTGTAAAGCAGGCGAGGTAGAGGGAGGGGCTGGGGAAGCGGAAGAGAAGAGCCACGAGTGGGCTTGTGTCCCCTGAGACCTTTCGCAAAAGCTAATCTGCCTCTCCCTGGTCTCCTGTTCCTCATCCATCCCTCTGTCTGTCCATTCATCCATTCTTCCCTCCATCCATCCATCCCTCTGTCCATCTGTCATCCCTCCCTCCCTCCACCCCACCATCCCTCTCTCCCTCCCTTCATCTCTCCCTCCCTCCCTCCCTGCCTTCATCTCCCCCTCCATCCCTTCATCTCTCCCTCCCTCCCTCCCTCCCT